AGAGCCTTATACTTCTGTGGGACTGATGTGCCAGGCCATCTGATCCACACAGTCCAGTAAATCCGATTGTCCCCTACCTCCACCTGGCTGGAGGCAGGGCACCTCTAATGGTCGTCACAGCATTGGACACTTAAGTCGTGTTGAAAGGGATTATTCTTCATTATCACAGGAGCTGGAGTAAAATCAGCTCTTCCACTCCATCTGGGAAACTGCTCACCAGAGACTGAAGCCATAGCTCTCATGGGATGATCAGTCTTGGCCCTTGCTCCCCTCTTCAGTTCACTCACCCGTTCCTCCAAAGCTGAAGTAGGTTTTCCATCCCACTTTGTCATGTCTTCTCCGTGATCCAGCAGGTAAAACCATAGGGTACCCCGTGGCGTATACCTCCTGTATCTCCTCTCTCGAACAATAGGACGCCTTTTGTTAATAGCTGAGACGTGTGTTGGTACACGTGAGGAGCTGGATAAATCAGATACATCGTCCCTCAATTTTTCGAGGTCCTGGGACAGTTTTTTCACAGCTGAGATGATGGAAGGGGTGAGATTGTCTTCGAACTCTCGGAGTTTATGAACCATTTCATCCACTGTTAGTGGTACTATGTCATTCCAGGTCACTGTTGCCAATGAATGGGCATATGATGACGGTACATTCCGTGTAAGTTTTCGCCACATGGGTCGTGTACATTCAACTTCATCTGGATCTATAGGTGTATCCCCGTTATTCGGCTTGATGTGATAGATCATCTCTACGATGGCCGATTCCCTCAGAGACTGGATGCCTTTGTCTATAGTAGTCCACTTGGCCAAATGACTCATTAACATCGTCCTTGTACGGAAACCTTTCTTTCACAGCTGCCAAGAGCCTCCTCCAAAGGCTGAGGGACTTTTTCTCTCTTGCAATTGCTTTGTCAATTCCCCCTTCTCTAGCAAGTGATCCCAGCTGCTTGGCTTCTGTACCTTCTAGTTCGTGACCATCGGCCCCATTGTCCCAGCATCGGAGTAACCAGGTGATGATGTGCTCCCCTGGTTGACGGGTAAAATCTTTTCGCATATTCCGCAGCTCGGTTGAGGTCCGAGGTCGAGAAGTTACCTCTTCTTCTTCTTCTTCGTCATGTGATGATGACTCCTGATCAGATTCTGGGCCGGGTGGTGAATTCATTGGTTCTTCATCTCGCTTCACCCTTTTTGCCTCCTTTTTGCTTGTTCTCTTGTGTACAGGGGCAACTGATATTGGTACGAATTGGTCCTCTGGTTTGGCTGCAGTGATTATCACTGTGGTTTGAGTAGCGACTGTACTTGTTGCTGGGGGTGGTGTAGCTGCTGTACTTGGAGCTGGGGTAACCGCGCTGTCTGTGGCAGTTGAAGTTTGAGCAGCTGCTGTACTTGCTGCTGGGGTAGCTGCGCAGTTCATTGCAGCCAAAGTTTGAGTAGCGACTGTCACTTTGCCCTCAAATCCGCCGACATTCTTTTCCTTTTGAAGGTGCTGGATAGTGTTGAACAAGGCCCTGTAAGCATAGGCCAAGCCCCAGCACGTTGCCGTGATTTGTCCATCTCTGGTATGGCCAGAATGACCACACACCTCATTTAAGTGTTTTACTAATTCTTCTGGATTTTGCAGTTGTTCGGTAGTGAAATTCCAAAGTACTGGAGGGGCCCACTGACCTAGATACTTGCCCATACTATCCCACACACCCTGCCACTCATGGCTGTCCAGCCTCTGGGAAAATCTCTCGGTCCTCCTACATCGTCGTTTGACCCCAGACAAGACCCAAACCTGAATCTGCTTAACTCTTGAAATCAGTAGTGGGCAAAACACACTCTGTATGCGTGTTAGCATGGTGATTCCCATCACCATCAGCAAACAAGTCTCAACAGCATTAAAAGGCCATTCAAAAAATTCAAAACTCTCAAATGTAAATGGTCTGGGGGGACGACTAGGAGGGTAAAAGAATGTCTCCTTCACAGGTTGAGCACCTGAGGAGGAGAAAAAAGATGTGTAATTGCTAAGCACCTCCATCATATACCTCCCAAAGTATAAAGGTGGTGACCACACTGGGAACACAAGCCAGATCAGTTTCATGATCAATGATTCTATTGTATTACAAGTCATTACCATAAAGTACAATGGGATAAAAACCTTAGCCCAAGCCCCACACTTGAAAAACACTAATACAGCAAATACCGGATGGACGTAAAATATGATATACTGAAACTGTGAGATCAAGAGGAAAAACCTTGAGAGCCAATAAATCAGCATTGTGACGAGTGACTATCAATCCAGTCAGATCTGTCGTTATCTCAACCCTTCGTGCCCCACGTTGGGCGCCAAAAAGAACTGTCGTGGTTTAAACCCAGTCAGGTAACTTGTTCACTCACTCCCAGTGAGTGGTGCCGAGCTGACAACAATCGAGGTCCCCCCCCCCCCGCACCGGGGCTCTCCCCTTCCCTGCTCCCGGAGGAACGGGGAGGAGGATCGAGAGAGTGCAACTCCTACGGGTTGAGACAAGAACAGTCCAGCAACAAATCACCACCGCTACTATCAGCTAAAACAATGATAAGGGAAAATAACAAGGGAAGAGAATACGATACCACCGGCCAAGAAAGCGAGTTCCACCCGGAAGCCCCTGTCCTTCCGAGTAACTCCCAGTTACCTCCCACCCCGGGCATGACATGCTGTGGTATGGAATACCTCCCTGGCTAGCCCGGGTCAGGCGCCCCGTCTCTGCTTCCTCACAGCTTCCCCTCCTCCCTGGCAGAGCATGAGCCTCACAGAGTTCTTGGTCAGGGTAAACATCACTTAGCAACAACCAAAAACATCGGCTTCACCAACACTGTTCTCAAGCTAGAAGTCAAAACACAGCACTGCACCAGTTAACACAAAGGAAAAACATGACTGCTACTGCTGAACCCAGGACACTCATGTAAGGAAAGACCTGGCCAGGCATAGTGGGAATAAGATGGCAGACACAAGCAAGACTTTGTTTATGATAACTTAAAGGCCTTTGCACACAAACTCTGCAGCGCTGAATATGTAAATCAGTCTGCAGGCTGACAGCTCTGGTTAACATCTTCTGAGTAAATTACCTACATAGAATTTGTAAGAAAACTTTAGAGCAGTGCTGGGCAGCAGCCTCTGGCAACGTGGTTTTCGATCAACAAATTTTTTAGCTCTTTGTCAAAAGCAGCTTTGCAACTGCCAGCCTTGAAGAGCTTAGTTCAGAGTCCTGCCTGCAGGGCATCCCCAGAAAGCCTCTTCCTTCAACTAAGACTGTCACCTCTCTGCCTTCTCAAACTGCTTACACATCAGCTGCTGTCAGGACTTCTGGAGAGCAGGAGCTGTTCTATGCTGAAGAACTACATGTGCTGAATCAGTTAAAAAAGCCTGGTATTGGGGCAGCTGGTATGTCACACTTCACTGAAGAGCTCAATCACTTGAAGCAGTTTTCTGACAGAAAAGGAACAAGAGTATCTGGGCCAATCTGCCTGGCCTGTAGCTCTTCTTAAAGAGAAAAGGCAGATGTTCTTAACCTGCAGGAAAGAGGAATAAAAGGTGCTTTCTCTAGTAAGCTATCAACTTATCTTAGAAGGTAACAGGTGCAAAAAGAATGGTATGAAGAGGGAACAGATGCTTGTGATGCTTTCAAGTACTTTGGATTTCCCAGAAGGGCTGTAACGCTGGAATCCTTTATTTGATAAAGGATTGCTGCAAGCTCAAGACAGGCTGAAATGTTAACACATCCCTTGTTTAATGCTAATGCCCTGAACAATTTCATACGGGTCAAGTTTTATGCCCCATTACAATATCAAAATTTTACTCTGAAAAGACAGTAAAATATATATTGTAATAGAACAGTAAAAAGCAAAGGCTAAGCATTTGAACTACAAAAAATTAGGGAAGATTTCATTTTAACTATATTCCCTACTCCCTTTTTTTCGTACAGGCTCATGTACAGAAAATCCCAGGTTAACAACACTTCAGCAGACATCCACTATCCTTTTGTGAGGTGATAAAACAGAAAATGAGTGTAAAGGATCACTTGTCACTGAGGACATAGCAAACCATGACAGCGACTACTTTGAGATGCACTCCTGCCTGTGTGCCCTGAGGGCTATGACGAATTCTTGCTATACAGGAGTAAGACAGGAGAACACGCTTTACCAAGGGAAGACAGCACGAATCCTGGGTGTGCACTGTGCTGATCTCGGCTCCCTCTTCGGCTCACCGAGGTATTCTCGGGCCAAGACATGGATAATCAGGTCCAGGAAAATGTCAGCTCCAACAGTGAGACTTGCTTTTTTCTGCCCGTATGTTCCTTTGCTTCCCTTAAGTATCATGTGGTCCTACAACATGCTTCAAAAGCCCCTTACTGCAGCATAGAGAGCTAATTAAACATTATGGGAATAAACAAACATAAGCAGAAGCAGTCAATCTGTGAGTAGACTGTGCGATGGCCAGGGCAGCCAGGACAGCAGTTTGTGACCCTGCATCCCACGGGCAGCTAGCCCAAAGGGGCCCTGGATCCACGGGCAGAGGGACCCTCAGAGCTTCTCAATCTCTTCGTCAGCGGCTCATCTCTAACCACGCAACCAGCGTTTAAACGTTATAGCGACCCGTAAGAGGATCAGCGCTGTCGGGCACCGTAACGAGATGGCGTTAGAGACTTCGCTTCGAGCGCGAAGAGCAACAGCAAATGCAAAAAGCAGGCTGCAGCACCGCGCTGAAACACCGCGACACCGCACGGAGAGCGGGGCGGGACGGAACGGACGAGCTCGCAGTGCGCCGCACCAGCCGGCCCCTCACCGCGGGGCGAGGGTAGGAGGAGCCCGGCGTTACCTGGCCCCCCGGCACGGAGAAGTCCACCACGCCCCGCAAGTCCGACGCGTCGCGCTGCCGGTAGAAACGAAAAAGCCGGCGGAAGGCATCCTCCCCGCCCTCCCGGCCCAGGGCCGCCGCCGCCATTTTGGCCATGCCGCGGCGGGCGGTGCAGCGCACTGCCGGGGCGGGGCCTGCCGCCCCCTTTCCGTCGCAGGTCCCAAGATGGCGATGGCCAGCGCGGTGCGTGCGGTGGGACGTCGCTCCAGGAGGCTCTTTGACATCTTCGTGGCTGAGGTTCCGTGGACGGTGTCGAGCAGTGAGTCCGCGCCACCTCCTTCAGCATGCGCCGGTGCTTGGGCTGCCGCGGGAGACGGAGTCCGCAACGCGTGTGCGGCACTAGGCCCCGGGGGCCGGACGGGGCCGGGGTGGTTACGGCTGGGCAGCGGGGTCTGTCCCGTGTAACCGGGTGTGTATTCCCCCCACAGAAGAGCTTAAGGAGTACTTTTCCCAGTTCGGGTCGGTGCAGAGGTGCCAGCTGCCGTTTGTGAGTACCGTTCTCCTTCCAGGCCACTCTTCGTGTCGCTCGGTTAAATGGGGCAGAGCCGCCGTCTGGTGCTTGCCGGGCTCCGGGAGGACGGTCCCGCTGCAGGGCCCTGCTCCCTCGGAGCTGCTTCCCGGAAGCCTCTTCTGTACACTGGTCAGATTTTGGGTGCTGCCCATCCTTAGGTCCTTCTCCCCGTGGCGGGCTGTAGGCCTCAGTGAAGCTTCGTGGTTTACACTGGCTTTGGAAAGGTTTTTGAAAGCATGTGCCCCAGATCTTGTTAATGTGGCCATTTCTGAATAATTAACCTGAAAGTGCCTTCAGCTTCTCTACCATCGTTGTTACCTTTCTTCTGACAAAGTGTTCACGTGCCTGGTCTCACTGGCCTAAAAATCCGGAAGGTGTGGGTATGAGCCTACAATCTTTCCCTGCTCTGGGTTCATACCCCATCAGAGAGCAGAGCTAACACAAAACTGCAGCCTCTTCAGGATGCCTCTGCTGTTCTTCTGAGTGTACAGCTCAGGGATAATAGTACCGGCTGCAGCTTACTGGAGATCAGCAGTCAAAAAAGCGTTCCTTTCCCACTGTTATGGATAAATTGAAGGTCATTGCTGAAGGAGCAGAGCTTCTCCTGCCTGCTTGTGTTCTCCACGTGAAGCACTGGTCAGTTAAATTAAGCTGATTGGTTCACCACCAGTTCAGGATAGTTTGAAAATGGAAAGAGATAGTTTTGAACAGTCCGGTTACTTATGAACACTGAAGCTGAGGTGTCTGCCTGCTACACAATTCCAAAGGCCCAGGACAGATCTGTCCCTTCATTAAGGGTGGCAGTTTACTATAAACCTGCCTCCACCGCTGATTCAGGCTGAACTGATGCACGTGTGTTTTTATTCAGCAGTTACTTTAGGAGTGTTAAAACTACCACAGATACAAAAATCTGCTGCCAGTGTAAGAGACACTAATTAAGACATCCCTGGGATACTGCAATTGGGCAGTGTGACTACAGGGTGGAAACTGCACGCGTGTTTGTAAGTGCCTGATGATCAGAGCAGCAGAGCTGGTGTGACCTCTGATGGAAATCAGTTGGGATAAAAGGCATTTTGTAGACCTGGCCTTTCTCCAGCATCTCCTCAGTATTGACAACTGTCTTTTACAACTGGCAAGTGATCCTTAAAAATAACTTTAGTCTTTTCAGTGCAGTTAGTGCTTGTCATCTCAGATTGCAGCCTTCTTTCCTGGGATCTTAAGAAGCTGCTTTGTCTTGCTGAATGCTTTTCAAGTACTGTGGCAGGCTTATTTTAAAATCATACAGCCATTTAAATGTCAGTTCTGTTGTGACTGGCTTAATAGTAGGTAACAACTGCAGTTTGAAACAACCGGCTATGTGTTAGTCAAGTCTTCAGCTATAACTTAAATTTATCATTGCTGGACTCAAAAATTGACAAGAGAGGGATGCAGAACAGCCTCTCCTTGCCAGGCCTCTGCATGCTGTCAATGACAGTAAACGTCTTATCACGTGAAAAAGGCTTGTGAAACAGCAAGTGTGCTGATTTCTGGGATAATTTCTGAATCCTTACATTGAATATTGTAGAAAGTTGTTAACAGCCTGCATGAATATTTGCTGTAGTAATTGGAATTTTTTTAACTGGTAACTAGGACAGAGATACAGGCTTCCACAAACGTTACTGCTGGATTAAATTCTCGACCCCAAAAGAAGCTCAGAATGTGTTTCAGAAGGACTGCCACATACTTGAAGGTGCCAAGGTAACCTGCTAATTCCTTGAATGAAGTAGTGAATTGAGCTCTTAAAGTCCGCCTTTTGTTGGACACAGTAGCATCAAAATACTGCTGTGTTTAAGTGTGATGAAGCATTTTGCCACTTAGTGTGCTTTTAGTGTTTTTTCAAACCATTAACACTTTTGTTCATTCTCCCCTCAATTTAACTGAGAGCCTGAGCTCATCTAGGTATCAGAGATTACATACCAGAGATCAAGACTCCCTGCTATCCTGAGTTAAAGGAATATGAATGCAGTAGAACTGTGCAGGAACTGCCACACAGCTAGTTAGTGTTTGTAGACAGGTTTCTGCAGGTGGATTCCAACATTCAGTGTGGATGTTGGGTGGCAGGGGGAAGATGACAAAAAACATAAAGCTTTGAACTTCTGTGGTTTTAATTCTTCTTCAGCTGTCATTTCATAGAGGAAAAGTCATGTACCTGCTTTCATATGTTGAAGATAAATACATGACACTTTGGCAATCTCAGTGCATTAGTGTATGGCATTAAGAGACAGCGTACACCATCCGTTAAAAGCCTTTGGTCTAGTACCCATGCAAAGGTGTCTTGTCATTGACTGGTCAGTTAGAGCCAGACAACAGCAATGGCTGTTGCACTGCTTTCCAAACACACAGCGTGCAGTGGTGCTGACAGGTGAGGATGAGAGGAAAGTTCATGTCTTTGAACAATTAGTAAGAATTCTTAAATATCCTTCTGACAACTCACATCTCCTTTGGAAGCTTTCAATGTTAGGGGAGGTTAAGAGTAAAATGAATTGGCAAGAGTGATGCACTGTGTTGATTCTGATAAAGTATTTTGCTTGACATTGTTCATACTAGTGCAGGAGTCTTCACTGGTTGCAGTTACTTCAGTACCTGTTACTAAGAGCTGACCTGAGAGTTACAACTGTGGTGCAAAAATGGAAGCAGAAATTAGGGAGGGGTTTTCCAACTTCAGTCTTGAACTGCACCAAGCCAGGCACTAGCCTGACTGCTTAAGTTGGGCTGAAAGTAATGAGGATGTGATCTGTATGCGGTTATCACAGTAAGCATTATGGATAGGTTAGATGAGTATCTAATGTCAGTTTATTGGAAATCACTTTGCTGGGTTTTATTCTTGAAGCTGTAAGATGCCACATTCACTTAACTACCTAAACATTGAGGTGTATACTCTCACAAGAGGTACAACAGCTAAGAGGCTTCTTTCTAGCAAAATAAAAATCAGAAGGCAAGCAGTAGTTAGCCTTCTTCACGTCCTCAAAATACGGGCTTCTCTAGAAGAAAATAAATGAGCACTTCTCCCACTTTGTTCTAAGCTAGGTTTAGACAGTTACCTTCTATTAGTTCCACTTGAAAGCACAAGCTTTTAAGAAGCTTTTGCTGATACAACTAGCAATTGCTGTGCAAATTACATTCAGCTTTCGTGTCAGGAGCTTAGTATTTGTGGTTCTGGCTGATGAAACTGAACCAGTTATAAACCCATCTTCTGCTTTCCATATGAATGTTTTAGAAGATCAGAAATGAAAAATACTAAGCCTTCTTGCCAAGCTAATTCGTATACTTGCTATTGTTTTTCAGCTCACTCTCAGACCGCAGTCCCGTAGAAGACACAGTCAAAGAAAGAGTCAGGATGACTGAACGGTGGAAGGAGGCTTTATTTCACTAAATGTAAGGAAACTAAAATAAAGATTAGTGAGAAACTATGAATATTTGTTTTAAAACAGAATCCAGCTGTTTCCCCTCCTTGTTCAAATAAATTGTGTATCGCCACGCTAGAGAAACACTAAATCATAAACTGCCTACCATCCATTACAGCATAAGACAGTAATTATATACAGATGAAGTAAAAGCTTTAGCTACCTATAAAAACTAAAGCTGTAGGAAGGGGCTACATTCTTACCCTGAGATGCTGGGCAACAGGGAATCGGTGAAGTCAGAATGCTTCCTAAAGCATAATTCCCCTGTGAAATGTTTCAAAGTGGTCTCCATGCCTCCATTCCCAAGGGGTAGCTGTCCTATGTAGAGGAGAATTTGTGTGTGTATATACATCCGCACAGCAAGGGTTGTGAACTGGGGGTTGCAACACCATTCCCCTATAAACCTCTGATTAAAAATGCCTTTTGGGTGAAGTCCAAGTTTGTATGTAGTCCATTTCTCTACCTCTCAAGGAACAACGGCATTCAGTCCTTCCTCCTCTTTTTGCTCTCATGCTCATGTTCTTTAGGGCGGCTGCTATCTGATGGCCGTTTAGATCCACCATGTTGCTTAGCTTCTTCCAAAAACTTGTCCAAACCAAAGGGATCCTCCTCAAATTGAACTGGCCCATCTCTGCCCCTTCCTCTGGCATTACGATCAGAGTTAGAAAACTCCTTGTCAGGAACAAACCTGCAGGAGAAGTGGTGAAAGTCGGTTGACTGACTTCAGAGTACTAATCAAGAGTATTCCTTAACTTTATTTTCTTACCTGTTGGTTTTTATTCGAGCCTCTAGATCATCACCGTATATATCCTTATCCACATTTTTACTGGGCCTGTAGATGTTTTGGGCCATATCCTTGCCACTTCTCCAAGGCTGGTCATAAACATTATAAATTTCATCCTCTCCACCAGCAAAGCCACTGTCCATACCCTGCGAAGAAAGAACAGCAGTATGACACAAATGGGTCTGAAAAACTTAGCTACTTTAACATCAAGATACACTGGTGGGGTCTTACAGATACACAAAGATGGTATTGTGTGATTTACCATCCATTCAAATGAGTTCAAGCACTTCATCAGGGTATAAGTGATTTTGGGCCTGGGATTAAGTCCAAAGAACATGATACAATCATTCCAAGCCTGTCAGGGCCAATTCTACTCTTGCAGAAAGCAACAGGGAGCATTACAGGCCATTTGTATTTCAGATTAATGGATCATTTAAGTCTGCCCTGCAAGTACAGCTGCCTATAAGAGCCAAGTGCAACCATACAGAAATGTGTAGTATTCAGAATTTCTGGAAAACATGATTTAAGCTGATTGATCCAAATCACAGAGAGGCTTGTGTGAACTGTGAAAGCAGAAGTGCCTGCTTGTTCACTTTTGATTCATCAGCTTTCCCTTCTGCCTGCAAGTCTTTCACTGGAGACATGAAAGAGAATGATTGACAAACTGCAGGTCTATTCAGGGACTTTCTGAAGCCTAATCTGCTTTTTCATCTCTGAATAGTACAAGGTTCAGGGAAAATAAACGTTGCTGTTAACTATTTATATCTTCAGAAGGATTTTTAACATAAGTATTAATGGGAACAGAATGCATTTACTTGCTTCTCTCTGACAGCAGATTTCCCTCAGTCAGTACATTTGTACAAAAGAAAATGAGGTCACTGCAGCTTGAAGGCAAAATACTTCCTTTCTCCCCACTCCCCGGTGGGAAAAACCACAACAAAAAACTTTAATTCAGTCATACATCCAGAATACTCCATTTCTGTTGCATCAGCCATGGATAAAGGAGAGCAACAGATTCCTAACCAGTTATATAGAGACTTCTTTCAGAGCATATCCACACCAACCATGAGCACAGAGTCTCTTCAGTATTCTAGCCCTGCTCACTAAGGAAGGCTGAGCATGTTCTCACATGAAACCACACAGCTGTGAAAAGGTGTTTTTACCTTGCTCTGGTTGAACAGCCTCTGGTCGTACTGGATTTCATTGGAGGGCCTGGGGTTGGGTATCCCCAGGGCAATAACTTCACTGATATCTCTGTTCTCATTTCTCTGCAGTTTTGACCTGAATTAAAAAATTTAGGTTTCATTAGGTCAGTAAACTGTCTGTTGACACACTCAACTGCAGCCTGATCCTGTGGTACTTGCTAACAGTTTGCCTCAGAAGCCAGGTTTTGACTGTTGCCCCTCCTCACTAGGTAACATTTAAAATCTGTCTCCTAGCAAAGGAAACATTTAGGGAAGTTATGTTCAGCTGGGCATGACATTTAAATTTGCTTTCCACTATCTACAATTTACATCAAGCTGACTTGGTCTAAAATGTCATATTTATTTTTTGCAAGAACCAGTGTAATTATGTTCTGGGAAGGCTGAGCAATCTCAACTGTAAGATACTGGAGACTGTAAGCCTCCAGAAACCATTTGTGCTTGGAAATCTTACTGGCCTGGGCAAACAAGATAGGTCAGCTTAAACTCATAAATCCAAGCTCGCTTCAAGTGAAGAGCTTCCAGAAACAAAGCTGCTAATGAGACCCTGGTCTCACTGAAGTTATAGGATCAAGGTTTCAACCTTTGCTGTCAAGGTTAATTAAACTTGAATATACTGAAGTTCTGCTAAAGGAAAAAAAAACACCTCTCCCTCCCCACATCTGGAAAACTAAATTTAGAAGCAAGTACTGCAGCACACTAACACAGTGATGCAGTTCATACAGGGGCCAAACAGCCCTTCATACCAGTGAGTAACTCCACAAGGTAAAATTCAGGCACTCACACCAAGCAAAAGGACAGCCAGTGCAGTGGCTTCCCTAGAGGGGAAGCCAGAGCCAGAACAGAATAAAGCAGCTTTCTTCTGTTACTCACCTTTTGTCAGGGGCTGCCCTGGAAAGATTTCTGTCATGCTGTCTCTCTTTGCGCCGGTCATGTCTGATTTCATCTCTTTCTCTAGCTTCTCCATCCTCTGAACAAACACAAGATTGCTCGTTATACACAAATATTTGAAGTTTGAATTAACTCTGCCACAGACACTGGCACAGTGGGTCAGTTCAGTACTCTTCTACAAAATGTAAGTGACCTTTAGCACTGTCTAAAATGTTACTTTTTCACTGGACTGAACACATGCAAAATCGCAGCCGTCTTGTGCCACAAGCAATTAGCTGTCCTTGACAAAAGAGTTAAAGCAGACATATCCAACAGCTATGTTTTGGCAACTATCAAGAGCTGAGAATACTTGGCCATCCTACAGATCATCATATCGTACTTTAATCTTTTAAGTGTAAAAATACAGCTCAAGCACACAGGCATCTAAGTGCTTTGTGGAACACTGTGACTCAGTATTAGAGAATCACTTGGGTCGGAAAGGAGTCTCTAGTTCAACCTCCTGCTCAAAGCAGGATCAGTGCTGGATTCAAACCAAGCTGCTCATGTCTTTTCCCACTCAGGTGGGTAAAAGCTCCAAGGATACAGAGTGACAGCCTCCCTTGGCAACCTGTTCCACTGCTGCTTGTCCTCATGGTGAAAGTTTTCTTCTCACATGCCGCTGGACCCTCCTGCTTCAACTTTTGACTACTGTCTCATTCTTAGTGAAGAGCCCTGATGATCTCCTTGTAGACAGGGGAAAGCTCCAATTTGGTGCTCCCAAACCCACACCTTCTGGCAGAACAAGCTTTATTCTCTCCACGTCTCCTGACTAGGGAGATACTCTTGCCCCCTGGCCATTCTGATGGCCCTCCACTGAACTCCAGCTTATCAAACCGCAGTTTGTACCTGGGACCTGTAACTGCACACACTATTCCAGAGACAATCTAACAGGTCACCAGTAAATTATTACTTCCCTTGACCTGGCACACTGCTCTTCTTCTGCAACAAGCTTTTTCTAAATAAAAAACGATACTTTAGACTAGCTATGAAAGCCAGTACTTGCACTGATCCATTAACAACTGAAATTCTCAACAATGTCCAAACCTGCATACACCAACATGCTGCTGCGAGGTTCAAATCCAGATTCCATCAAACCAGCCAGTGAATTAACCAAATTCTCTAGCTGATCAAGTAAAGACATTAAGAACAAATGTCATGCTTTCAAATTACAGTTGATACTTAGGTATTATAAGTTCTCAGGTTATTTCTCCAAACCCACACTCCACAGCATCTTAATAATAAAGAAACGTACCTTTTTCAACATGGGTTTTGATCCCTGCTCTTCTCTCCCTGGCTTTCTGAGCCATTTCTCGGAGCTTTTCCTCATGTTTCTCCTTTTCTTTCTGAGCCATCTTCCTCTCCACCTGGGCACGCATCTCTACTGCCTCACGAGCCTGCACAAACACGACAAAGTTATAAAGGCAGGAAGCTAGCACCTGGGATGCAAGCAGATCTTGTGTCATGGATTTAGCCAGCAAAGAGGGCAGGAATCAAGCCACAAAGAGGAAATTCAAACCCAGACAGCCACAACAGACAGAGCCGAGAAACAAGACCCGTGATCTCCAACAATTTCCCCCACACTGAGCCGAAGATAATGGGGATAACACTTTTATGTCTTAAGTTAGCCAAGAAGCAGGACAAATCAAAAAGCTTATTCACAATTGATTTTCCCAAGGAAATAAAACATAAAAAGAAGGTAAAACCACATGGAACAAAACATTTAAACAACAAACTGACCTTTCTGTCAGCTATATAGAGAGCCTCAGCAAGCTTGGCAAAGTTTTCATTAATATGAACAGTCTGCAATCCTCTGCCATCTGCAGCCAGACGTTTATCTAGTGGAATGGTGTAACCCTATAGTGGAAACAGAGACAGGGAATAACAGAAACTAACATTATTTGCAATAACAGACATTATCACATTTATTGTGTAAGAAAACAAAACCACACATCAAACAGCTCACCATTAATATGCCTCAATGGACCTCCTTCATATTTACTTCATACCACATAATTAATAAAAGTCATTCCAGAGGCTTTGCTCCAATTCCACATTTCCCCCAAATCTGAATCACAGTTTCCCTACAAGTC